TCCACTTGGACATCGAGCCGTTGACCACAACTCTTTGAGTGCGACCATCCAGCCAATTCCTTATCCACCAAGTGGTCCATCCGTCAAATCCATGTCTCTCCAATTTAGAGACAAGGATGTCGTGTGGGACAGTGTCAAATGCTTTGCACAAGTCCAGGTAGATGACGTCAGTTACTCTTCCCTTATGCACCAATGCTGTAACCCTGTCGTAGAAGGCCACCAGATTTGTCAGGCACGATTTGCCCTTAGTGAAGCCATGTTGGCTGTCACCAATCACCTCCCTATTTTCCATGTGCCTCAGCACAGTTTCCAGGAGGACCTGCTCCATGATTTTACCGGGCACAGAGGTGAAAAGAACTTGAAAATAACGAAAAAGTTACTTCTGCTAATGAGTGGTATGTGACCCTAACGGGAGTATGAAGAAGACAGTCATCAAAGGCAATGCAAGGAGATGAAAAGAAAACAAATAGGATTACTTTCATTTAGAGAAAAACGAGCAAAGTATATGACTGGCTATGTAAAATGAAGGACGTAGAAAATATAAGGCACTTAACATTTATCTTGTCTTGCAATACAAAAATAAGGGAACAACAACTGAAATTAAGGCAACAAATGTAAAAATGGTAACCTTTTTAAAATACAAAACATAATTGACCTGTGGGAATCGCAGTCTTGAGCTAAAACTCCAAGCTTAATAAGATACTTTAAAAATGACTACAGATATCTAGTTATGCTACTGAGAATAACAATAACACATAAAAACAGTAAAAACCCTTGTTTGCCAGGCAAAACAATTAATCTGCCTATATTTAAAAAGTAAATGTCTTCATATGGATAGATTGTTCCATTTGCCCATTATAGCCACTTCACATCTTTTTCTGAAGCATCTGGTCCTCAGTATTCTTAGATTTACAGTATCTAATTAGATTGAGTATTGATCCAAAAATCCCTTTGCTTCTAAAAACGCCCCCAAGTATACAGAAACACTTAATAGTCTCACCTTTAGAGTTGGCAGTTAAGATTTCAGGCCTAGAGTAACACCTTATTTTCCCCTCCCCTTAATCCATCCCCAAACACACACACACACAGACTAATCCCAGCCCCTTTGTATTCTGGGACAGCAGGCACTGATACCTAGAATTTATTGCGCATACTGTTTAATGTAAAGGGAAACGGAAAAATCTATTAAATTTGATCGAAGTCATTCCATAGTCTTTTATATATTTCTTTGTTCTATATTTGATTTAGTTAAGGTTGCTCAGGAATATTTCTTAGCCATTTAATAATACGCATTTTAGGAGTAATAAGCTCCAAGAAATTAACCAGCTGTTTTCACATCGAGTCCCTTTTGTGGACTGCTGACCAAAGTGTAACATAAAATCGAGGCAAGTGTAGGTCTTGTTTGGAAAAGATGTTTTCATGTGGGTCATCAGAAAGTTTTGTAAGTTCCCCCCTTCTGCCCCCCTCCCCAAGTCTGAGCCAACGGACGATAATTTTTGTAGAAGCAATAGAATACCACTTCTCATCTCCTTAGAACATACAAGCAGGCTGCTTCTTGACAGCCCCGCACGTTTGAGGGGTAGGGTGCTTAATGCCTACACTGTGAACTTAGTAGGAAGCGCTCAAGCTCTCATTCAAGAGACCTGTAGGCTGGCCACCTGCAGCCTGGAATGAAAATGCTGCACTCTCTGGTAATGATGACACTAATAAGGTTATACAGTTTTTACACAAATAAAAATAAAAGTGACTTTTTAGCTGTCCCTGGGAAAGAGATTACATAGTGTATATATATGGGATTGTTCTGTAATTAATCCCGGGTTTCAGCCAAACATGCTTACAAAGTTGTAAAAAAGAAAAAAAAAAAATGAAGTTTGCTAAGCCTATACCCATCGAGTTCCATGGTCACAGGATAAAGACTGTATTAATACTGGGGTCTGTCCAAGAAAACGCAGAGTAAAAGCACCCCAGGAGCGTACTTCTGCTCCTCTCCTGTTTACAGCGCTGGTTAAGATAAACTCACTAAGCAACAAAACAAAGTGGCTTATTTTGTTAGAGAAGTAAACTTTCTTCACCATTAGTCATCTCATCTCTTGTAGGCTAATTGTAGGTAAAATTACACAAATATGATGTCTAGAACTTCCAGTACATCTTGTTCTCGTGGGCATATAGTAGAGACTGAAAAAGGTTAAAGTATGTTCTCTTGGTGACCGAATGACTTTGGGAATATATAAATTGATAATGACTCCATCTTAAAACTCAGTTTAAATTGTGTATAGGTCAATACAAACAAGAGTAGTCAATGGTTTCAGATGGAAAATCTCATCAGTTCCATTTCTAATGATGTAGTATATATACTGTACAAATTGTTCTGCCACTGTTACTGGCAAATAAAACGGGGGACAAAGAGAGAAACCAACAGCTAAAGTAACCTTGGTAAGGACCGTTTCCTTCACGTTGGCATGGAGAAGCTGACACTGCCATTGGCAATGCTGTGGATGCAGGGCTACCAGTCACATCAGGCTGGCACTTTTGAGAGGTTTAAAAAAAAAAAAAAGAGTATTTTACTCGTGCTTATGCTTATTAAAACATACCCCAGTCTGAGGTCCCAGTTTTCAGAATGAATCAAACATCTACTGGCATCAATTAATGATCCATATTTGTAATCATTTTATCTCTGATGTGTTGACTAGGACTAGCATTCGTGTGTTTATTTTCTTGTAAAGAAATAGGTCTTGAATGAATGATCTGCTAAAGATTCTTATTCTAATAATTTTTACAAGAAAGTGCTTTTCCAGACGAATGTGCTAAAACATTGTTATATGCTTTTTCTTAATTAGCTACCTTTTTTTTTTCCTTATCATAATATGAAGACTTCATGAAATTTTGTGGAAGATTATCTTCATTTCTGAATACTGAAGAGAGGTTTTCTTTATATTCTGGTGTGTGTGGTATTTATACTTTGTTTATCGCCAGATGATATTACGTATAAACCCCACATGTCTACAAATTTAAAAAGTGGGCAGTTTACAGTGCTGTGTGACTTTTTTTTTTTTTTAAGTATTTAGACCTCACTCCCCTGAAAGAAGTTTTGAGAAGTGACCCATTGTCTACTATAAAAAGTTATCCATGTAGTACTTCAGTTTCCTTGTTCATCCATTATTTCATTTAAGGATGGATTCTTTCTAATGAAGCAAAAGTATGGGTATTCTGATAACAAAACTCAGAATGGACTCAATGGCACGTCCATAAATACATGCAAGTCTGGACCTGTTCAAAAGAAACCAGTATGTCTCTGTACGGTAACAACAGGCTGGCGGAGGGCTTATGGTCGAGACAGTACATTCTCCCTCTTAACATGGAATTCCTAATTCTTGTCGTGCAACTACCTAATATTTGGTTTTACTTCCTTTTCGTCTGCTTCATCCTCACTGTCATCAACTTGCTGAATGACCAAGTCGGTTGACCCGTCCTCCACGATCTCCACATCAGATCTGTTGTCTTCCCCATAGTGCCACCTGGAATCCTTATCCCCATCTTGTGGAAATTCAAGGGGCGCTTCAGCCTCCAAGTCAATGCGAATGCTGTCTATGCCAGCTTCAGCCAAACACTCATTACAGAGTCTGTAACGTCTTGTCCCCTCTTGGACCACCTGTCCTGTTAGCTCAGTCACGTGGCGTTTACACTTTCTGCAGATAGGCTTACAAGCCTGATGAATCTGGGAAAATCAAAATGAATAAATTTGATAAGGTATCCGCAAAGAAGTGTTTTTTAAGATGACAAAAAGTAGGGCTGGAGTAGCGTCAAATGGTAGCATTTACTCGTTTTGAGAGACAGTCATCAAACGTTAAAAATTAAACCGTCACGGGCGCTGGAATTGCCCACTTAAGCTCTATTACAGGACTTGCACAGAGCAGTGCCTTTGCGAGCCATCAATTAACAAAGAAATTCATCCCCTTTCATACAAATTATGCTTCGAATCGACTTCAACAAAACCAGATTAAATTTCTATTACCTCTTCTTTTACGGGAGTCAATGTATCAACCAGATAAACACAGTACGAGTGTAATTATGCTGAGACAGATTTACACATTAAACAAATCATGCAGTTACTAAAAATACATACTGTTCGAAAATGGCTACTTAGGTGATCTAGCCTGCTAAATCTTTTCCCACATGCCTCACAAGGGTAAGGGCGCTCTCCTGTATGACAGCGAAGGTGACGCTTTAGGTCTGCTTTTCTTTTCACCACATGAGTGCAGAATGGGCACTTGAACCTCATCCTGGGCAGATCATCTGTTAGAAAAGAATGCGATTAAAAAAAAAATAAAGTCGTAACACGTCTAGTCATTTAATGCTCTAGGAAAATGCATTCCATGCGCAGAATAGAAAATCGCTTTTATTAAAAAAATACTATCGTAGGTCTTTTCAAGCACGAAGATTTTGTGTTTTCCTGTAAATTACACAGAGGTGCAACAAAGGAAAAGGAGCGGACCGTTAGCTGTATTAAAATGAGCTTAAAAATATCCCAAAAGATCACGGCTTAAATTTGCAAGATGAAGCTGTAGAGACACTAAAGATTATGTATTTTGAAAGGCTAGTTTTAATAAACCAGGTACTTCAATCATTCACAATTATTAAAAAATAAGAGTTAAACATCCCAAACTTACATTTCTGGACAATACAGATGTATTTTTGGCAATTGTACACTCGTTCAGTAAAGCACATTTTCTCACGGACAGAACAGACGATTCACAGATGGCCGTGCACCTACGGCATTAAAACCAACTCTTACCTTCAGCCCAGCTTCCCATGACTCCCAGAATTGAGGGCATGCTCGCGTACTGCTCGTCTGCTTTTGAAGACTTGGATTTACTAGAAGAACGGGGTGATTCATGCTCCTGCTGCGACACAGCCAAGCTCCTCGGAATCACGTCAGACCCTTGGCCGTACTGGTATCCCACGTGAGGGGATTCAACTTCTGTTTCAATCGGAACTTGCTCCTCGGACTGAGCAATATGGCCAGCGGGCTCGGCAGCCCTGTCCTCCAGTTTGCTCGATTTATAGTGAGGAATGTCAGAAGGTTGCTGCAGTCCCAGGTGCCGGGATTTCTTTATGGAATCCTGCCTTTGCTCGTGTTTGGACAGCTGTTGCTGGGCATTTCTTTGAGAAGTCGGATAGTAGCTGAAATTGCTCCAAGCGTTTCCACCCATCATACACGTCCCTTGATCTGGACTTAAGTGCGAATGCGGGGGGCTGCTTTCCGCCCTCCAGCCAGCGCTGTACAAGCAGGATCGGTCCACGCCATTTGAATTTACATCTTTGTCTGACAGACTGAAGTAGCGATCCTTCTCCTTCTCACTGATGTCCAGCGATGACTTAATGAACGTTTTACACACGCTGATAACATCGGTCATCTGCAGATAGCTAGCAGCCGACATGACTTCGATGACATTCTGACCAGTGAGAGACAGTTTGCCCGAATACACAAAATCTAGAATGACTGTAAATGTGTCAGGAGAAAATGCCTGGAAAGTAGCTGTCGTCGGCTGACTCGTCTCCTTCGAGCTCTGCGAAAGGAGCATTTTGAAATAGCCGCTGCTGGCAAACAGCACATTGCGATGTGCTTTAAAGACCTTTCCCTCGACCAGGATATTGCAGTCACAGAACAAGTCTTGCCTGCGCTGCTCATTTAGTTGCTGCAAGAGGTGAAACTGGTGAGAAGAAATCTCCATTCCAGAAAAGATGAAATGAAGCGTCGCTCTAAAAAATAAAGAGAATAATTAGACTCTTGACTTCAGCGTCGTGCAACCCAGCCAAAGATGTCAGACCCAGTTTTACAGATATCTTTACTTAAATCTATAAATATATTTAAATTACAGTATGCACAACCACGCATTCTTTTTTCCAAGAAGAAGAGAGTGATGAAAAAGCCAAAAACACCAGTACACGTTATTTGGCAGAGATGCGTGTGCTACACCTAGGCGCCTCTCCTTCCCAAGGATGCAGGGCAGGATGCGTGCGACCCGCTGGCAGCTCCACAGCCTTCAGACATTCTCCAACGGGACGAGGAGCCCTCCAGCAGCTGCGGTGGAGGACCGCGTCCGCGCCTCGAGCCGACGTTACCGCACCGCCCCGCTCCGGGCGGGCCCAAACCCT